CAAATAGAACTAATGGTAATTTGTGGCCCCATTTAAAATAATAGACAATGTTAGCAGATGCTAAAATGCCCATTTGAATATAGCTATCGTATAAAGACCAGTATCACCTATGTTTACCACATCAAATTTAAATCGCCTTGTAGATCAAATACACGTAATCCCTCTGTGAAGTCCTTTAAGTCAATGATCAATACCTCTTAGACTGGTTACAATGGTCTCAGTATTGGGAAGAGCCTTGATGAACAAAGTGTTAAGCTGGAGAACAAAACTGACTTATCCTTTCCTCTTTTAGGCAACCTTTGCTTGAAAAGAAAGATGACAGTTGAGCCTAGAAAAGTGAAGAGGAATGGGAGGGGCATTGTTCAGCATTCCAGAGAACCGGCACTACTGGATGAGTTGTATCTCGTTTTGACAGCAGCAGTATAGTAAATGACAAGCCCTGTCAGGTAATGCATCTATCTTCATGGGAAAAGCGGCCATTCCAAAGCAAGAATCTCAGATGTTGTCACATCAGCTAGGATAAGAAGTCATAAAACAGGAAGGCTATCATTGCAGGAGGTACGGTGATATCTAGACTACAATTAGGAGGAGCTGTGAACGGGCACTCCAGCTCCAAGCTCATGGGAGCTCTGACATTCTTCTTGTGTGCCTCGATTACCAGCCACATAATTAGTGAAATCCTTATCAGTCATCTATGACCCTTTTTGGGGCTCAAGACTCTGACCTTCTTTTTATGCTGAAAGTCTTAGGGTCAAAGCAATTCTTCTGTTTTTCTCAAATGCTAAGTAAGGAAGAAAAAAATAAAAGAAGAAAAACAAAGAACATCTTTTTCCATTTCTTCATTTGCTCATTTGTTCAACAAATACTTATCCTATAGTCCAGGCACTAACCTAGGAGTGGCCTGGTCACTCAGTTAGATATGCTGCCTGACTCCTGAAAGTTGGAATCTAATTAGAACAGGCAGGCACACAGCAGGCACTACAATCAGGCACAAAAAAGGCATGAAGGAAGTCACAGAGTGCAGCTTGGGGAGTGGGGAGGAGGGCAACAGGCCCAATCTGCAGAAGCAATGGAGGACTTTGTGGAGGAAGTGGCATCTGGCTAAAACTTAAAAAGAAGACTGTGAACTGGTCAGATAGAGAGGCGGCGGAATAGAAAAAATAATATGTACCCATTTATAAGAAGACACAAAGTGTGTTTGGAAGACGAAGTTTGTAGGGTTGAAGCGCAGATTGGGAGGGGTTGGGAATGTGAACAAAACTAGGGGGGGAGAAAGACAGAAATATTAGCTAGATGGTTCTCAGGAATGAGAGAAGTAGGCATGTTTACAAGCATTGCAAACCCATTTATTATGGTTTTCTATAGGTACACAAAGAAAAGATCTAATGAAAAATAAGATAACCTAGCTATGCTAAGAAAATCATGTAATGATTTTTCTGAATCTAAATCATTAATTAAAATTATATTGTACATACCAGTGAATTACTTGAACAACAGAGAGAATATACTTATTTTTAAGGTATTATGCCTGCCATTGCTCCCAACCCCAAGACAGAAAATATCATTATTTTCAACAACTAGAGCTCTAAATTCAGCCATCAGAAATATTTTTTCCTTTTACTCTCAATAGTCTGTATATTACTCTAATCAGGCTATTACTAATAACACCCAACTTGGGAGTTACAGAGAACTGGTTTAACCCTGACCATGCTACTTGCTGTGTGACCTTAAGCAAACTGGTAACCTCTCTGAACCTGTTTCCTTTAATAAAACTCACCTTATAGGATTGCTATGTGCATCTGATAAGACAATGGTTGAGTCAGTACTACTATTTCCATTTTACTGAAGAGTCAACGAGATTCAGAGAGATTATGTGACTTGTACCAGGCCACACAGCCAGCAGAGCAGCCCTCAGACTTCACAGCAGGCCCCTGAATTCATTCTGCAACTGCATCTCTTTTCTGTTGGGGTTTTTCTAGGGGTATTTTCAATGGCAAATATAATTAAATTTCAACTAACATACCCTTTCTTCTTACTGTAGAAATAATAAAAGTTCTTGAATAAAGGGAAAATAAAAGGGGAGTCGAGAATAATAATAACCGTAACAAAAATAGCACTGGATGAACACTTTAAATGGGTAAATTGTATGGTATGTGAATTATATCTCAACAATACCATTACAAATTTTGAAAAGTAAAATAGCAGCAGATGAGAAATGAGTAATACGGCATTTCAAATGGTACAATTTTGAGAAAGTTCAATTTTGTTGCTTCATCTTTTGGCCAGTAAAACAGGGGTGCTATTATCTGCATTTCCTCTGCCAGAGAATTAAGATAAACTGAGCCCTAAGTGGTAAAGTGTGCTATGATGCACATACAGCTCCAATACATTACGGCAACACTAAAAATAACCTGAGAGTGAAGGAGCTTTATTTCTTCATTGCCAATGACCCAAGAGCCTCCTAAAATGTACAAGGAAAGAAGTCTACCCCCACCACAAGCACCTGTTCATGAGGTCATCTCTTCTCAAAATACTGAAGTCACTGAAATGTCAGTGGCAGGAAGTTCTGGAACGTACAGATTACACGAGCCCATTTCCCTGCAGCACAGTTACATCATCATCAAGAGAATCCATTCCCCAAATCCACGGCTTCCTAATCCATTAGCACAACGGGCTGGTGGAGAGCTTGGCTTTCCCAGTCATATGGGCCAGAGAATCAAAATAAACACAAATGTGGCCAGAGGAACACAAGTCGAAAGAATCCCAAGTCAGCCCCAGTTTACTCATGTTCAAAGGCACACACGCTCCACCAGACTCCAAAACAGAGCTCTTCTGAATTTCCTTCCCATTTTATGAAGGAAGTGTAAAATGAATTGTTACCTGTTTTCTCTTTTAGTAGGAACACCATTTCTGCTTTCCAAATTCCTGATTTACTGGTTTCACAGCCATAAAACATCAATGCCAAGGGCTTTATACAAGCAAAAACAAACATGATTTTTCCACTGTTTTTAAAAGACAGGTCGTTTTTGCCCCAATTCCTACATAGTGGTAAGCTTAAAATCAAGCCATTTAGCTCACAGTCAGGTCCAATAAATCAGTGGAAAAAATAAACGGGAGAGCATGCCAAAATGTAACCATGGTAACACCACAGATGCATCAAGAAATGGTGCGCTCATTTGCTTCATCCCCATTTCTTAAATTGGAATCTAAGTAGGGGAAAAATTACACAGAGAACAATCATGATTCTGCAATTACTGATTTCTGCAAAATTGTATTCAACCTGCTGTGCTATAACTTCAGAGGCAGCTACAGGGCAGCTATGAAAACAGCCCCAGATGACATAAGAGTTAAAAAGACCAGATCTGCCACTTACTGACCCTCCCTGTGACTTTGTTTCTTCATCTGTAATATGGGTGTCAAAGACTCCCAACTTCAAAGGGTTACTACAGGAGGAATGCCTGACAGTGCAGAAGAGGCAGGGCAATGATGAACTCAGGCGACTCGAAGCCCTGATCACCTTTGGCTTTCATTTTATTGGCTTCCTCATTGCCTCAGTTTCTTGATTTACAAAAATAGAATGATAATCCCTGCCCCATCTATGTGATTAGCATTAGGAATTAATTATTATTAAGCCAAAATATAATACATTATTATGAGGGTATTACCAGGATTACAGTTTACAACTTCAAAGCTAAAAGACTAAAAGAACTGAGGACCACAAGTTCACATTAACACATCATCACACTCCTCTCCCTCAAATGCAGCTTAGCCACTCCATGGACAGAGACAATCTTGGGGCCCTGTCCCAAGTTACTTGTAGCAAACTTCTTTTCCTCTCAGAGCTTCTGTTTTATTTATGAGTAAAATAGAGAGCCGGGGGCTATTCTAGAATCTGATCTATGGAGGTTATCATCTAGAACTACAGTCTAAGTCTTTTCAAATCTACAGAATGCCTTAGATTAGTTCTGCTTGTTCTTTCACAGCAGTATCAGAAAACATTAGCACTCTAGCATATCATTTGCAAGGCTTTTTTTTTTTTTTTAAAGCAAACCATTTATAGCAAACAAAACATAGAAATAAACAGGGTACCTTGAACATAAAATTATTCCTCCTTTCTTTTGCTGGTTTAAAAAATGATATTTCTAGAAAAATAAATTCCAAACTTTGAAGGACTGGGTAATAGGAGAAAGAAAAATTCTAAGTAATAAAACCAGAATCATTCTTTCCTCGTATTTTAAAAGAAATTAAACAACCAGGAACACAGTGTGCCACAGCACAGTGAAACTTCACTACAATGGAGCTGTCAATTTGTCCACTCATACACAGACAGACAGACAGACAGACAGGCTGCCTTTCTTCACACAGACACTCTGCTTTCAGCGATCCTGTGTTCTGTGTCTTGTTTTTTTCAGATTTGGTGTAATCTAATGGTTTGGGGGTTTGGGATTTTTTTATCTGTGGAAATCATTTCTTCAAACAAAATTATATAAAATCCTGACTTATGAATCTGATGAAGTTGACCAAAAGGAGAACCCTGGGAAGGAAGAAAGAGCCCACTGGGGTATTCCCTTCACTGGGGGTCTCCACAAAGGTCAGTCTGAAGGCCGCTGGCCCGGTCTACTCCATTAATAACAGCAATGGTTAACATTTATGGAGGCTTACAGCACACCATTATCTTACAAAACGCCTTCTGTGCCTGATCTCATTGACTCCTCATAGCAGTTCCATGAAGCTGGTATTACTGACATGTCCTTTCCACTAATGTGAAAAGTGGGCCTTACAAAGGGTAGATAATTTGCCCCACATTACAGAGAAATGACTGAAACCCAGGCACGCTATGACACTGTATTATTCAATTATGATTTACTTGAGTCAAGGAGTCACTCAGTAGGCAAGCCACCAGGTGTTCCACAATCGGTTGTTGAGATCTCCTTTCTCCTCTGGACCTTTCACACACACACACACGCCCAGCAGTGAGATGCTAAAGTCTGGCTACTTACAAGGCACAGCATGGCGGTAAAGGTTATCCCTTATGGTCTGCTGGAGCTCATGATCAGGAGACCCCTTCTGGAACCGCTGATTGAGAAAATGTCGCAGGTCCTTGTTCAGCCTTCCTCCTGTAGGAAATACATAAAATAGACATACCACATCAACAACAGGGCCTCCTAGAAAAGGAGTAGCCAAGAACTGAGTGCGAGAAAGCCACAGGATGCAATTCTAGCCTGCCACCCCTAGTCATTAGGAGGATGTACTTTAGATTTTCCTCTGCTAGGGTAAAGTCAAGAAGGAATGTCATAAAGATAAAACAGCACTGGCAATGCATTAATTTGGAGCTCCTATCTCACATCATACTAGAAGGCCAAAATATCAAAGTGTTTAACATAGGCTATTACATTTAAATATGTGCCATCGACACTTGTAGACCCTATTACTAGAAGCGTAAATTACTGAAACCTTAAAGAAGACAATCCAGCAATAACTATCAAATTATAAAATGTTCTTTGACCAGGGATTTGATTGGTAGGAATTTACTCTACAGGTATACTTGTAATCTCCTCAAATTTCCATGAGCATTTACTATAGTTTTTTAACTTTTTTTAATTTTTATTTTTTGAAATGGAGTCTCACTCTGTCACCTAGGCTAGAGTGCAGTGGCACGACCTCAGCTCACTGATTCAAGTGAGCTGCTTCCCAGATTCAAGCGATTCTCCTGCCTCGGCCTCCTGAGTAGCTGGGGTTACAGGCATCCACCACCACACCCAGCTAATTTTTGTATTATTAGTAGAGACAGGGCTTCACCATGTAGAACAGGCTGGTCTCAAACTCCCGGCCTCAAGTGATCTGCCTGCCTCAGCCTCCCAAAGTGTTGGGATGACAGGTGTGAGTCACTGCACCTGGCCCTAATATAGCTTTTTTTAATGACAGTAAATAAATAAAAACAAAAACCTGGTAACAACCAAAAGGGAGCAATTAAAGCACAATTCATCCATATAACAACTACTTTGCATAAGCTAGATTTTCATGGGTTGATATTGGGAGAAAATGTGTGGGACTATGCATAATGTCTGATTCCTTTTCTGTAAAAATGAATTTGGAAAAGGAGAGACTGGGTATTAATAGGAGGAATCAGAAGAAAGTTTTAAAAGCAATTTCATTTAGGACAAAGGACTTGAGCTGGGGATAAATACGTAGACTTCACTCTTCATCACACAGACAGACAGACAGACAGACACAGACATAGACACAGACATCTCCCTACCCTGTGTTGCTTTTCAAACACTAAATGTATGTTGCTTTGTTGTTGTTGTTGTTGTTGTTGTTGTTAAAGTATAGTTATCTAAGTGAGTCTGTGTTTATTTCTTTGCAATTGTCTACACTTAACAGAACAAAAGAAAAGCTAAAAATATGATATTATCACAAAAATGTGTCATCGAAAAGAGACACATTTTAAAAAATCATAATCACAAATTACAGTCTACAGGATCAACAGAAGTCTTGTAGATCAACCTAACTAGCATTCACTCTTAATGGAGAAAGATGCTTCAATGACAGCTAAAACTAACTAGGCTGAGACTCTCTTTCCATTTTTAGACAAGATATAAATTAGGGAAGAGCATTTTTAGCCTTAGAGAAACAATGCAGCAACCCATGAGTCACGTGAGCTATAAAACTCATGTCTTCAAACGATAACTTCCCTATGGTCAAAAAGAGTAAATCATGAGGATGACAGTGATGGTTAAGATGATGGTATTTCCTACCTAGGGCAGGAAACTACTGATCTTTACTTTAACATCACGTTCAATATAAGATTCTGGCTACACCTGCTCATTTTGAAATAGATAATAAAACCCAGTTTGAGCTATTTTATTTGGTATTATATCTACTGTTTCAAGTGCTCAAAAGGAAAATACATATATTCAAACCAATCTTAAGTCATTCAATCATTCATCAAGTATTTACTGAACGAAGACACCCACATGCCATGCCACATGAACCCACCCCCCAAAAAAAATCAGCACAAGGTTTGAACAGACAGTTCACAATGGAATATATGTGACTATTAAGCATATAAAAAGATGTTAGACATCCTTAGTCACTAGAGGAAAAATAATAAAATCATAATGAGATCCCATTAAATAACTACTTGAATAACAAAAATTAAAAAGACTGAAAATATCAAGTGTTGGCAAGGTTGCAGAGAAACAGGAACTCAAATATATTGTTTAGCAGGCATACAAAATGGTTCATCCTCTTAGGGAAACAATTTGTCAATATCTTAGAAAGTCATACCTTCAATAGCCAAGTGACCCAACAATTCCACCCTTACTTACATAAGAGAAATGAAAACAAGTCCATTAAAAAAATCTTGCAGATGAATCTTCACAGCAACTTTACTTACAAATAGCCAAAAATTGGAAACAATCCAAATGTCCATCGGAAGGTGAATGAATAAGCAAACTGTGGTATAATCAAGCACTGGGGTGCTATACAGCAATTAAAAGAAACTACTAATGCATGCATTAATACTGATGAATCTCAAACACAGAATGTTAAGCAAAAGAAGTCAGATACAAAAGATAAAATATTGCATGATTTCATTCATATACAAAGTTTGGGGATGCACTAAAAAATTTGGAACGGACTAATTTATAGTGAGAGAAAACAGTTTTGTTGTTACAGAGAGCTGAAGGTAAGTAAAAACTAACTGCAAAGGGCATAAGGGAATAAGATCTATGGATCTATGGGTCTTTCCCATTGGCGAAAACAGGGTGAAGGACTTCTGTATGATTTCTATACATGCAGGATTCTATACATGGGGCCTCTATATTATTTTTTGTAATATCCTGTGAATATATAATATTTTCAACACCAGTTTTTTAAAATGGGGAGCACAAGGGAAGATTCTGGAGGAGATGCCAATATAATATTTTCTTTTTTTGAGATGGAGCCTCATTTTGTTGCCCAGGCTCGTGTGCAGTGGCACAATCTCAGCTCACCGCAACCTCTGCATCCCAGGCTCAAGCGATTTTCATGCCTCAGCCTTCCGAGTAGCAGGGATTACAGGCATCTTCCACCATGCGTGGCGAGTTTTCATATTTATAGTAGAGATGGGGTTTTACCATGTTGGCCAGGCTGGTCTTGAACTCCATCTTCAAGTGATCTGCCCACCTCGGCGTCCCAAAGTGCTGGGATTACAGGTGTGAGCCACCACTCCTGGCCCCAATATAATATTCTTGATCGAGATTAGTAACATGGGTTTATATATTTGTCAAAATTCACAGAACTATATACACAAACAAGTATGTTTTATTATATGTAAGCTATACCAATAAAATCGATTTCAAAAGTTTAAAATACATATAAAGATTGGATGATTGGATGAGTTCTAGGTGTGAGTCAGTGTTCAGGTTGCATAGTTCTCTCTTTAGAGAGTTGAAGCAAAGGAAAAAGAAAGTAAATCTAGGTAGTTAAGCCAGACATGCCTACTTCTGAATCCTGGTTCAACTGTTTATCAGCTGGTGAGTCTGAGCACAGGGTTTAATCTCTGAACCTTGCTTTCCTCAACTGTAAAAATAGAACACTGATGTAATATTAGCTCTGTCACAAGATTGTTGTGAGGATTAAATGGGATGATACATTCAGACAGTGCCTGGCAAAAAGAAAGCACTCAGTGAAAGATGGAAATTATAATTGTTATGTTGTTGAATGGATGATTGTTGAGGTGAGGGGCCAAAGAAAGAAAATCAGTCCAAACATGAACTCTTACTCTTTAAAAAAAAAAAAAAATCCATGCAAACAAAATTTATTCTATTGGCTTAGAAATAGCTAGAAACAAAATAAAGACTTATGGAGATTTGGATGAAAGGATATTTCTAATGTTTTTAGAAGTGAATAAAAATCTACTTGTGCTAAAATAGTGTGGACCTATGTAACTCATTAACAAACATTTAGTGTGTGCTTAATATATTCCAGGCATTGTGCTGGAGCTGAAGTTCAGGAAATGAAATCAACTAGTAAGTCACTGATATGTGATATCGCGACCTGCTAACTCTAGCTTGAGGTATAAGGCGCCCTAGAAATTGAGTTAAAAAATAATGTTTACCAGCAAAATTCCCATTGCCTGCAATGTAGGGTTTTAAATTTCTCTTAGGTGACAAGAGTTCTTGACATTAAAAAGACACTAATAGTTATCATTTGAGCCATGGCAAAGATGTCTATGATATCCAAAATGCTTAAATCAAAAGCAACATTCCAAAGGAGTTTTCAGGTACAATACCTTTTTATCACATATATAACAAAGATTTGTACATCCTTATGGATCATATGTGGTAAGTATCAAGATAAACCAGGAGTATATAGATTGGAAAGCATTCTATTTTTTTTATTTTTCTGGAGACAGAGTCTCACCCTATCACCCAGGCTGGAGTGCATTGGTGTTATCATGGCTCACAGTAGCCTTGACTTTTCAGGCTCAAGCAATCCTCCAGCCTCAGCTTCCCAAGTAGCTGGGACTACAGGCATGCACCATTATGTCCAGCTATTTTTAAAATTTTTGTAGATACAGGTTCTTGCTATGTTGCCCAGGCTGGTCTTGAACTCCTGGGCTCAAGCAATCCTCCTGTCTCAGCCTCCCAAAGTGCTGGGATTACAAGTGTGAGCCACCGTGCCCCACCTAGAAGGCATTCTTAAGTATAAGCTCTTGGTTTACACCTAAGCTTATACTCAAACTAACCAAGGTAGCTAGGGTTTATGGTCAACAAACTAAAACTCCCCTCTACTGCAGATGTGCAAAAGGACAGGGTTTACTATGCTGCCAGTTAACATTCACTTTGAGTTCCATCACATTTGGACATGAAAAGCCTCAACCTTCACATTTTATTAAAAGTACTGTACATTTTGGCATCTAATATCAAATTAATTGCCAGTTATTCAAGGGACATATCTATAAATCGTCTACTAATTTCAAGGGCAGTGAGCCAATAAAATAAGTTGGAAGACAGTTTGTCATAGCATCTTCACTTTCTCTGAAATTCAAGATTTGTTTTGTAAATAGAAAAGAGAATATAGGTCAGAAATACAGTCATACACCATATAGCAAAGTTCCAGTCAAAGCCAT